CAGGGCTGATGATACCTGCTCATCTTTCATAAATGGAATTTAAAATTTAGAGGTTTTGTTAAGTTAAATTCTGAAAGAAAGCAGAACGTTTTAATTTAGAAATATGAAATGTTGACTAGAAGCTGATCCTGTATAGTTTAGTTTTCCAGCCAATATTTGTATCAACAGCTGAGTAACTGAAAACTTTCAAAAATGAAAAAAAAAAATGTTTTTCCTATTCCACTTCGATATTACCAACTATTTACCTATTAAGACGTAGCAGTCATGGTTTAAATTTGAACTTCCCCAAATTAAATAGTATTTTCCAATGGTACTTCAGTTGGATTTGGACTTTAAAACCTAAATTAAAAAGATGAAATGTTAAAATGTTAAAAAGTCCATCTAGCTAAAGCTAGTTTAACTCGATTTGCTTCAGTGAAAAAAATATAACCTCTTTAGTTTGTTTCTTTTTTGTGTAACATTAATATCTACAAATTTAAATTCATCTTATAAAGCAAAAAAAGTTAGCATTTATTTTATTCCTTCAAAAAAGCTAGCGCCTTTTTTATTAGCATGCTACATTTATGTAGCATATTTTGTCTCCTACAGCAATTTGGTTAAAATGGCTAAAACGTTATCCCAGTAAAATAGACTATCTAGGTATGTTTACTGTAAGTGTTTGGTTATTTCTTAAACTTATAATGACGGTAATAAAAGTTAGTTTTCCATTTAACTGCTTTTAGGCCTTTTATTTGTTTGAACTTGACTGAAGTTTAGCTAAGCTAACCAACCATAGTTAGCATTTCAGTGCCCTTTGTGTGACTGAAATTAAAGCAGGTCCAGTGATAAATTATTAAGCTCTCTTACTATTTAAAAATAAAAACCCTGTTCATCTTTTTTTTTATATATAAAATACCCCACCAGAACGGCCTCACACACACATACATGCTCACCAACATCACTGTAAGAAAAACAAAGCTATTCTCCATGCAACACAAGTGTTCACAACACAAGTGGGACCACTTTTTTAAGAAACTACCAAACAAATGTATTAGATTTGGAGAGGGGAACACATGATGAAACACATTTTCATCAAACCAACAAAGGAAGAAAAAGAAAAAACATTTTTTTCACATTATCTAGTCAGTGTTAAAAATAGAAATTCACCCGTTACATTAACTCTGCACTTTTTGATTATATACAGATATGTACATGGATTTCTTTTAATTATTTGTCCCTAATGTCTTTATCAACAGTTTATAAAAAAAAGAAAATTGCAATCAAATGCATAAACTCTTCTAGAAAGATGTGCTTAGTAACTTTTTCTTTTCTTTTTTTTTGTTTTTAGTTGAAGCAAGGTGGGGAGACAATTAGAAAAATGGGAACATTGGGTTTTGCTCTTGTAAAAAGAACAAAATCCATCCAAAGAAAGAGCTGAACTCATTTAGAATTTATTTTAAATACCTGTTTTATGTGTAAAGTTATTCATTTTCATTCATATTTCATTTACATATTCACTAATTTTTGCAGATTTTTTATAAATTCCAGAATCGGATCCAGTGAATGCGTTGGATCTTCTTTAGCAATATGCCCTCTACGTAAACTTAACTCACAGAAATCGCCAATTCCATTTTAATCACCTAAAATATGCTCTAAGTTTGGAAATTTTAATATCCCAAAAATCATACATGGTTCATAACCAGAACAAAGGTTATGCGTTTTCGCCTGTGGAGCTGGTTGACAGTTGCCTTTTGTATCTATGCTTCTTTTTCTATGTCTGCTTCTGTCTCCTTGAACCCCAGTGGGCCTCAGCAGATGGCCGCTCACACTGAGCCTGGTTCTGCTGGAGGTTTCTTCCTGTTAAAAGGGAGTTTTTCCTCTCCACTGTCGCTACAAGCATGCTTAGTGTGAGGGATTGCTGAAGAGTCAATGAGTCGATGCAATCAGCTGGTTTTCCTTAGATAGAAAACTTTGAATCAATCTGACTGGATGATCTGGTGAACTGGAAAGTTCTTTGAGATGACATGTGTTGTGAATTGGAGCTATAGAAATAAACTGAATAGAATTGAATTTTTTTTTTTGCACAGAAACAGACCAGAACTGTCGACAAATCCTTGCAAAAGCTTAAAATCTGTTGGCTTTGCTCAACAGTACAGGCTTCGGTCTGGACGTTTCCAAATTTTCAAGGTTATTGTGAGTTCAAACTACCAGCTAGGTTCTACTAACTGAGTTGAGCAGAACAGCGAAAGGAGCCATGTCTGCGTTTTGTTGCATAATCAAGTTCAGCTCTGATCAGGGGTTGGAAACATGGAACCTGTGGGTCAGAGAGCAGGACCAAGAGACGGGATCAATTCTGCTCCAGAACCTCAAGATTTCTATTCCAATGCTGAACAGAGATAAGGATCAGCACTGAAACCACATTAAATACAGACTCTGTATTTTGTGGAGCTTATTGTACATTTACAGAGAGGATTGACCCGACCTGTGGCAGGAATGCTGTGGAGTAGATCCCTTCTAGTTTCCCCCAGTAGTCTGACCCTAAACGCGTGATGGACCCTGACCGCCCGGCACAGTGCCTGTAGTATGATTCAGAACCTCTGATCGACGACCCAAAGCAAACAGCTGTGCGACACCGCTGGATTTCTGGAGCTGCTAATTCACAGATTATTCTTTCTAATGGAGATCCTAAAATCTTCAATGGACTGGCTTTATGAAAACTACCACACGGTCTGATTTTAAACTGTTTGGACGGCAGACGTCATCTCTCAGCGGTTCTGGTTTTGCCCTTACAGATTGACTTCAGTTATTAAGGCTTAACAGGCAAGAGGTAAAAGAACAATGACAAGTGCCTGCAACAAAGACCTGTAAAAATGTTCTTTTCTGATTCTTTGATTTTAATCTCAAAGCTCACCCACAGACACACAAACGCAGGCATGTGACACAATCTCTCCCTGCTCTTGTATTTCCCTTCTTAAAACTCTGTCTCTCTCAGACAATCAAAAACAAAAAGGGTCTGATTTATTTGTTTAGCTGTTGTTACTGTTCAGAGCAGCAAACCTGGAGGAAAGAGAAAACAAACTGTGCACTGATGGACCGGCTTCTTTTTGTTTTTTCTTTTGTAAAACATCCAAATGAAGAAATAAAAAAGCAAATACTGCTGCAAAAAAAGGAGCGGAAAGGTGTGAGCAAGCCCAAGAGAGAGAGGCGGGGGGAGGGCAGTCCGACATAAACAATATGAAATCAAATCTGTCTCTAAAAAGTTCACAGTCTTGCAGCTCCGAGTACCGAGGAGGGAAGGTGGTGATGGGGAGGGGAGCGTTAAAGAGTCGTCACTTCAGCTGCTGCAGACAAACAGTCGCCTAAATACTTTATCCACAAATATGGGAGGTTGTGTTTCTAAAGCACCCAGGAAACCCCAGGAGGTCGGAGTCAAAATTACTTTTTTCAAACCAAACATGGATTCCCCTAAACAGTAAGAATGCTAAGTACATGTTTACTATGATATGAAATAAATGATGAGAGAATCAAGATCCCAAAAAAATGGGGATCAAATAAAGGATTGTATTAAACCAAGCTGCCCTTGGTTAACATGTCAGCAGCATCGCAGGCCGCCGTTCTGTTGGTTCAGCGTGCTTCGTCAGACCAGCTAACCTATAGACAATACGCACGCGCAAGACGTCAGATCTGCCTTTAAAATAGACTTTAAACTGCCTCAAGGGCCTCTGTCCCTTCAGTCATGTACAAAAAAAATCTAATATGAGGTCAGATCGCTATATGCTTCAAAAAACTCCAAAAAGAAATGAACTGACTCAGGTTTCAGCTTTCAAAAACCTACAATGCAGCAATTGATTTCTGAAAAAGTTTAAAAATCAATCCACTGGACTTTGTTTCCAAGGTTTGAAGATGTTTCGCTTCCCATCCAGGAAGCTTTCTTAATTTAAAATTTGAATTTGATTGTCCAGTGGATTGTTTTCAATTTTCTTTTTTTTGGAATAAGTAATTCCATTGTGTTTTTTTTTGTACATGAGTTCAGGGATACACGCCTGTTAAGGTAGAACTAAAGGGATAAAGGGGTATGGACTATAGGTATGCTGGTCTGACCGGGTCTCTGACAGAACACTGACTGTCAGATACCCATCATGTGGGTCTGACTGACCCATAACATGATGCATGAAGTGGGAGTGGAAGGATATGCTTTTCATTAAGCCCAGATTTCTACATTAGAAGCCATTTTATTTATCTAATATAATTAATTTCCTTTGAAGCTGATTTTATATTTTATTATTCGTTACCCAAATCATCAAAATCAACAAAAATAAAAGCTCTAAATCTATCAGTCTGATTAATAAGATGCACCTGTAGTGTGTATTTATGGCCAGAGCACTGATATCTCCTAATTTCTTGCGTTTTGGCTGCCTATTTGTGTTGAGCAGGAGGGATTTAACCTAAATACTGCGTTTACTCTAACACTAGATCAGTGATTAATGAACTGGGGCTGATCACATGGTTGACATGAGGCATAAATGCAATGTTAACATTGCTAAAAAGATTTATTGACACTTAAACTCTAGACTTAAACATAATTCAATATGTAAAAAAAAGGAGAAAAAAGAGCAACTGAAGTGACATCTGGGTCATAAGATTTTTTTTAAAAACACTGAACACAATTCCTCCATGTTGCCCCCACCCATCCTCCTCCTCTTGGATGGACTGATGGATGATTGGATGGATGCGTGGACGTCCCTGCTGCCGAGTGTGTTTCAGTCTCTCCTTCCTTTTCTGTTTTTATTCAGAAACTGAGTTCAGGATTGTAGAGCGTGGACTGAAATGAGGTGCAGAATGTAGATAAGAATACGTCCACCATGCATAAACACAAACGCAGACAAAGACTCCCAGTTTTCCTGGTGATTTCCATGTAGAGAGAAGGAGAAAGTTCCCATTCCTCTCTCCAGATTTAATTTAAAATTCCTCTGATGCACAAAGTGGAACATCGCAGGGGCTGCGGTACACGGTGAGCGAACTCTGACAATCCAAGGGGAGGGGTCACGGGTTGGTTTGGAGGAACCTTCACATCATCACGTGGCGACGGCGGTGCAGAGACAGGTGATCTGACCGGGAGAAGGAGCGATCGCACTCCGTGCAGCGGAAAGGTTTGATTCCTGTGTGCTTGCGGAAATGTCGGGTGAGCTCGTCGGAGCGAGCGAAGCGCCAGGTGCAGCCCTCCCAGGTACAGTGGTACGGCTTCTCTCCTGGAATGTCACACAAAAAAATTAGTTCTTTGGTAACCAGGTGAATTTATAAATCCTAAATCAGCATTCATCTTTGCTTGTTGTTTTGTATTAAACTTGTATCTTTTCTTTTTTAACAGATATAAATGACATTAAGGTTCTGCTGCTTTATAGTCAATGCAAAAAACCTCACTGAATGCTAAGAGGCCGGCTGCTATGAGATCTGCAGTTTTCTAGGAAACACTTTGGGAAAGGTAGCCCGCAGAAAAAATGAGAACGCTTGAAATCAAACAAAGAAAAAAGGGTGATGTACCTAAAAAAAAGGCCTTGCATTTCAATGTTCACCAATTGAAGGTCGATTTAACCAAAATGCCATTATAGCCAGAGAGACGATGATCTGCTTTTAGACTGTTTTGCACATAATGGCCTTAATGTACGACGAAACCACAGGTTTTAAAAGTTCACAGCTCACCATGCATGTTCTCACACTGCGACGCTCTGATGCGATCTACTTGCTCACACTGTATATCTAAAAACTAGTGTTACGCAATGCCATTGTTTGCCGATACCGATACCCGGTAACCTGACTCCGCCAGAGGGATTTGCTCCGCATATCCATCTGGAAACCTTCCGTTGAAGTAATTTTGGGAAGGGGTGAAAATACTGGTTAGCTGATTGGCCTATGTTGGTGATAGACGGGCAAAATAAACCAATCAGATCAACGAAGCATATGGCGTACTAACAGAGCGACGACGAAGAGGAGCCAATTGATAGATCAAACTCTTGGTGAAACCAGTCGGGAGAAAAGCAAAAACATCTTTTCCTCTGAGAAAAGCCTCCAGATCAGTGTTTTGCTCTTCTTTCAGTCAAGAAATACTCTGTAATTCCCATAAAACTTGCTCGATAGCCACGCTAACGCTAGTTTCATCGGCTGAAGCCGCCATGTTCTTTAGACTGAACTGTCGCGCTTCTTGTTGCGTCACACCTCAACCCGCCTCAAAGCCAACGCTGATTGGACGTTCGTTTGGTGAACGGCTCCAAATTTTCTTTAACAGAGAGTCTCCAGACTGATCTGCCAGTGAAACCTTGAAAGCTCGGGAGATCAGGATGGCCTCACGAGGCTAGATACCCGGTACCTGGCTGTGCAGTATCGGCCGATACCATCTGTTTGAAATTGATGTATGTGTATGAAGAACTGCATCCTACTTGGATGTAAAATAATTTCCATCATGGCTTCATGTCCAGCTGCTGCCTACCTTTGTGAAGCAGGAAAAACACTAATACAAAGTGAATCCAGTAGAACTTTTTATTGCCTAGCTGGAATGGGTGACAATAGTTGAAGAAACTTTTGGCTCTCAAAATGGGATCAGTGCTCTATTGGTTGGTACTCGCTGATACCGATACCACCATTTTAGAGCTGGATCAGTATCGATGTGACACTACTAAAAACCACACATCGGACTCAGAGCACAGAGCTGGCACTACTCGGACCCGTCAATCTGGAAGGAGAAGAAGAAGAACTGCCTTGTTTGCGCAGTGCTCGAGGTTCTGGTAAACCGGCTCAACAGCAGGAGTCACCAAGAAATACCTTACGACGGCCTACAGACTTTCAAACATGTTTGATTTTCTCCCGACCTTAAGATTGCTGATCGGGAGGTTGAGGTTGCCCCCTGCACACTACAGGACGAACGATCAAGCTGAAAGTCGGCCCGATCAAAAAAATCTTGTAAGACCGGAATATCGGCCCGAAAAGGGCAAAAAATTGACCAGTTTGTGCCCGGCTCAATCAGCCTCTCACGACCACCTCCCGATCACGAATTGTCAGGAGAAAATCAAACATGTTTGAAATTCAGTCGGCCATCGTGAGGTGGTTGTGGGTAAATCCTGTCGTTGAAGCAGAGCTACGAGACGATTTACCAGAAACTCGAGCATTGCGCATGTGCAAACAAGAGAGTTCTACTTCTTCCAGATTGACGAGTCCGAGTAGCGCCATCTCTTGGAGCCGAGGTGGTTTTTAGACGTACAGTGTGAGCAGGTAGATCGCATCAGAGCGTTGTGCCGCACAGTCTGAGAACAAACATCGTGAGCTGTGAACTTTTAAACCCTGTGGTTTGCAGTGTGAGCTGTAGCTGCGTTCAACGATTGAAAAAAAATGCTACATTGTATGCCAGGCTTTAGCAGTTTACTCCCGCATGAAGGGTTTTTACAAACACTAGTGGAAGAACACTGAACTGATCAGCATTATAGAAACAAGCAAAAATAAAAACACAAAAAAATAGTGACGACGTCAATGTTTTTGTATTGACGCCCTTAAGAGCCAACCGTTTGTATAGCTTGATCTCTTTTTTTCAGTCTGATGAATGGCTGCTTTATATTCTCTGAAAGGATGGGTGTTGGCAGTGATGTGTGGGTTGCTCAGCTCCTACCTGTGTGTATCCTCCTGTGGGCTTTGAGGTGGGAGCTCTTGGTGTAAACTTTTTTACAGCCTTCATAATCACACATGTGGATCCGCCGCCTCTTTAGGTCTAGTGTGTCGGGATCAACGGGCTCCAAGTCCATAACTGACCTGGGACAGAGAAGATAAGAGAGGGAGTCAGTGATACTGGTCACTGTAAATTATTTTAAAATAAACTTGATATATTATTTGTTTCATGTTAGTTTCTGTAATCCTTTTAGAACATTTATGTTCAATACTTTAATTCACCAGTAGATATTAACCAAGGAGAGCAGACCAGGAACGGAAAAATCTCATTTTTTATCCATAATCTCTCATGCTGGCCTGCTTCTTCAGCGATTACTGCTTTAGTTTAAGCTTCTGTAGTTTGGCTTTGATCATTCAGTTTGCATCTTCCCCCTCAAATATAGATTTCTTTTAAATGAAGGCAAAGTCTTGAAAAGTTTGTTGCTGTCGCTTTTCTAAAATGCAAACAGGCACCAGCTCTCTGCAGGGGGAGGAAGAAGTGGAGGCTCTGTTCATCCAGTTTCTACTCTGCCCACCAGGTGGCGACAAACAACCATCCTATTTCTAACAGCTTCTCAGCATCCTATTTTACAGTTAATTTTTCTGTTATTTTATCATATAAAATGTTTTTATTATCTTCTTGCTAACTTATAATAACAACATGGAATTTATCCTGCAGAAACTAGACCCTCTCCTAAATTTAACTCTGTAAAGTGCCTCATTTCTAAAGCTCACGTTAAGTTAAAATGTTTTTTTGTTTAGTTAATGGATGTGCTAAGGGTTTAAAAAAACAAAAAAGTGATTTCAAGTCCATTCTAGGGAGAGGTGTGACGGCACACTGAATTACATAACCTTGTTTACACCCTGATTCTAGGACAGCCCTGCCCAGCAACACACGGTCGCACAAGCAAATCTCTTTCTGTCTCACACGGACTCACAAACGCTCAACTGTCCAAATCAATCTTTCTTATATATATATCTATATATATAAATATATATAGATATATATAGATACATATAGATATACACATCAAAAACCCAGAATCATGCTTATTTTTTAACCAGACAGTCTCTCTGTCAGGCACATTCATGTTCCAGATTACAGCAGTGAGCAAACCATCGGCGCCCACACCCTAAAAATACAGTTAGGCAACACCGCCGCACCCAGCGGGTGTGGCAGCAAGTCTGTGCTGATTTTCTAGTGAACCAACTGGACACTTAAGGGCTGGTTATCCTCCAGCAGCAGTGAGCTTGACGCAGATATTTTTGATTCATGCCCAATATTGAAGCGTGGTCTGCGCTATGTTATTCCACACCACAACGCCAGAGGGCCAATCAGGAACTAGCTGTGGGTCTAGATACGGCCGAGGCGGTGAGGAAAGGGGGGCAAGTTTGTGCGACAACAGAGAGACATAAGAGCGGGAAAGAGCGGGGATCCAGGTGGTAAAAGGGTCCCAGCGTTCTCGCACGCCTCGCCCTTCTAGCTGCTCCATCTTCACCAGTCGTTTTCCATAATGGTGGACAGACAAACAAAACAAGCCGCTAAGGAACCAAACAGGAAATATTCATAGTGTAGAGCGGATGTAGAATTGACCAATCAGAGGCCTACTGTCTGCGATCACCTACAATTTTGGAGAGGTGCAGCAGAGTGTCTGCAGAAAGGGTCGGGCATATCTGCGTTAACTGCGACACAAACACAGGCGACCTGGTTTCTGAGCATAAATCAGCCTTTAAAGCCCACGCAGCTCGCCAACAGCGGGTCAGAACTTGCTTTTTTTTCGCACGGCTGAGTGTCTGTTGATGCCATCACGCTGAGTTAGCGTTGATGATGTCAGGAAAGTAAACAACGGAGAGCAACATGGAAGGGAGCAGGGTGGCGTAAGTCTGCTTTATTCTTTCGTGCTTTTGTGCTCTCACCAGTGTTGCTCCATGTTTGTCGAATGGAAGCAGATCAGATGCATCTGGCGTGTTCTACAGACACCGGTGCGTTGCACTCTATGGTATCACGTAAATAAGTGGATTGACCAATCTCTGATTTTCCCCACTGTACGCTGAAAGGAGGCAATCGTCGAGTCGATCGACTCCGTTTAGTGAGCCGTTCCCACTAAAGGCCGATTGTTTCTGGGTTTAAACGGGTTTTTCGGCCGGTGGGAAATGGGTATAAAGACAAAGTAACGTGTTTGCGCAACATCTCAGGCTTAAGTTAATTTATGGAGCATGCAGACTGCACCACCAGTCTCTCCGTATACTTCCTGTGTTTTGCAGGCTGGGCGTATCCACTGTGTTCAGCTGTACAGTGAGTTATATAAGGTTATATAAGCATCCAGTCATGGCTTCACTGCAGTAATGTAATTAGTCAGGAGCCTGCAGGCGAGGGTGGTGACCCACACAAAGACCAAATTTCTCATAAACCCTGCTGCACATTACACTCCTGCTGGCCCTGCTGACTTGTATTATGGCTTCTAGAGTCAGCTGACGTCGTATTAATGTTTCAATAGCTTTACAGGTTTGCAGTGAAACCACACTTTGCACAACAGTTCATCATGGTTCACTGGAGTTCTCTAGATCAAGGTATGAAGATCTTGATAAATGACTTTTTAAGGTTTATTTAATAAAAACAAAAAGAAGCTGGAGCTTATTTTTGCCTTTTTTTATGGTTTGTTTTAGGTCATCAGACGAGGGAGAGTTATTCAAGTTTGTCAAAGGAGGAGCTTTAAAAAGGAAATAATGTAAAAAAGCAATAATTAAAAAGGCCAAAAGATCATGCTGAAAATAATAATCCTATTTAGAAAAAGTTGTGAAAAGTTTCTCTTCCATTAGGCGTTGCTACGTAGATGTGGTTTGATCTGCTGATCAGTTTTTTTAATGAGTTACCTGGAAATGTATCCAGTAGGGGGGGAACTCCGGCTGCCCAGAATAAACCTATGCAGGATCAGGGGTCTTCAATGTTTTCCAGGCCAAGGACCCCAAACTGATGCTGAGATGGAGCGGGGACCCCCCCCAGATGGAGTAATGTAACTAAAGTAATCCCTCCCTGGGATTATTAAAGTATTTCTGATTCCTGGTTGATGGGACAGGTGTTGTGAATGAAACGGTGCCCAGCTTGAAAGAGCTCCTGTGTGTCTCTGAATGTGAGCATTGATGACTGAAAGACATCTGCCTCCATTTATCTGTTTACTGCAGTCTGTTGGATTCATGTTCATGTGGATTTAAAGACATTTCAATTAGTGGCAAAAAAATGCAGCGGCAAAAAAAAAAAAAAGTCTAATCGACCAAAACTTTCCCAACCTCCATGCAGTACGTCCGTGAACCCCCTAAGGGGTCACGGACCCCCTGCTAAATGATAAGATCTGGATCCTGGATTTTTTTTTTTGGTCAACATCCATGTTTCAGCCATAGAACTTGCCTCTAGAGTACTTTGAGTTCGTGGTTGGCCTGATTATAAGCTCTCCACCACCATGCCTGACAGAATGAGTTGGGGTTAATTCAATTCAATTCAGTTTATTTATATAGCGCCAAATTCACAACACATGTCATCTCAAGGCACTTTACAGTTCAACCAGATCATACAGTCAAATTAGTTAAGGTGTTACATATATGATCAAACATTTCTCCTGCAGTCTGATCTGTCCAAACATGGATGCAATTGGGGTGGGGGACGCAGGGAGGACATGTCCCCTGCAATTTTCAAACGTCCGTTTTGGTCACCCTGCATGTTCTACTGTCCAAAAAAAATGTTACGCTACAGTACACAGAAATACGTCGAGCACTAGGACCAAGCAGAAAACTGCAGCTCAAACTGAAGCTTGATTCCTTGATTTTAGCCCGCCCGCGAGCTCCTGATTGGCCCACCGTTTGTTCTGGTGTGATTGACTGTCACTTTACAAACATCTGATTGGCCACTGAATCTGGTCTGTGATTGGACGGCCAAACACGCTGAAGTTAGTTATAATAAAAAATATGGCCGCTCACAGACTCTATGATGACAACAAAAATTATTATTATTATTTTTTTTTTTTTACTTAACGCGAAATTCAGTAAATCGCCGCAAACTTATTAGTTTTAGGTATAAATAATGATCCATTGATGATTCGTTGCTGACCGGACTTTTCCTTTAAAGGTACATTTATTTTTTCCAGGAAGATTTTGTATCTTGTAATTCGGTTTCTCTCTGCTCTACACTCTTGAATGCATCTTTAAATTCAGGAATATCGTAAATATCCCTCATATCCCTGAGCAGATGATTATTCTCTATTTTCCATCCCGTGTTGCTTTGAACAGATCTAAAATCATCAGGGGGCTGTTTTAGTGTTTACTCACCCTGCGTCGATGCTTTGAGCGCTGAGGGAGGCCGATCCAGACTCTGTGCCGCTCTCCGCATCGCTGTCACTCTGATACTCAACTGGTGATGTTGAACCCGGCTTGATGCGAACTGCAGCAGAGAGGAAAGGGCGAACAAATCAGTGGTTTGAAGGAAAACAAGGAAATGATGGAAGGTGAAAAACAAGGAGGGGTTAGAAGAAGAGAATAGAACAGCAGGGGGTTAATTGGAGAATTACAATGTCAGGATTTAGCAAGACAAAGGCTGTCTGAGTGAACGAGCGCGGCGGAGGGTGTGGTCTGCTAAGCTGCAGCATTAGGGGCTCAATTAATGGAAATCCTCAGGAGGGAATTTTCTCTATGCGCCCGTATTACTATATTTATTACACTTTTAGAACTGTATTTCTTTCTAACTTAAAACCTTGTGAACTCCCAGCGGCTAATAAAGAATCAGATGAAAGCTCCATGTCTGTTGGTTTTCCCTGAGCCTTGGCAAACTGCTAAACTCCTCACAGATGCCTGCTTATCATGAAGTCAGGAGGCTGTTTGTTTTTCAGCTGCGATCTCTTGATAGCGCAGAGGCACGGCCCTGACTTGTTGGCTTTGGAGAGAGGAAAACTGTCTGAATCAGATTCCTCCGTGGTGCATTCATGGCCCTGGCTTTTTTTAGACTTCAGAGTTCATGACTTTTTGTAAATAAAAGGATAAAGTGGTTCAACTTGTGCAGAATGGACAGGAAAGAGCTGGAGATTTGTGCAGATTGGAGCCAAATCTATGAATTATTTTTCTGATGTTTAAGTTAAAAATTATTATGGTTTCTGCATCCTTATTGTTCAGGATAAAACAACACAGCTGAGATGCTAATTTAATATTAGTGTGAAGATCAGATTTAGCTTTCCAGCCAAACAAACATGAGCCAGACTTTAATAAATCGAGTTCCAACCCTAAAACTGGATTTTTTCCCTGATAACTATTATTCCACATAGTTGCACCACCTTATATCACACTTTTTCCCTCCATGCAACTTTCCACCACTCCATAAAACACTCCTCTTTCCTGAACACGTTTTAGGGTTTATTAAAAAAAGGTGTGTGGTGTAGTGAACAGGGGGTAACGAGGGGCAATCAGCCTCTAACGACCACCTCCCCATCAGGAATCTTGAGGTCGGGAGAAAATCTAAAATTTGAAATTCAGTCGGCCGTCGTAAGGTGGTCGTGGGCAAATCGCTCAGTGGGCAAACAAGGATTCTTCTTCTTCCTCTCAGATGTAAACCCAGCATCATGGCGGGGGGGCAATGAGTGAAATGGAGTTCTTTCTGTCAAACTGACAGACCGTAGTAGCCACGTTAGCTCAGCCATGTCTGTGTCCAAATACGTCGTCTCCTTTTCTTTTTAGGGCTTCTACTTCCTTTCGTTTGGCTTCCGGATAGAGTCCGAGTCACGCCATCTCTCTGCGGAGCGTGAGTTTTTAGACGTACGGTGTGAGCAGGTAGATGGCATCAGAGCGTCGGGCTGAACAAAAATCGTGAGCTGTGAACTCACTATAGCGTGAGCTGTAGCCGTGGGCAGCGATTGAAAATATGGCACAGTGTACGCCTGGCTTAAGGAGAATCTGTGTCTTTATGAGACATACTGGTTCATGAGGCTCAGTTACAGTCAGGGTCTTTGTATGGGACTCATTAAAATGCAATAAATGAAACCAATATTACCAACGATGCTTTCAATGACATTTCTTATGCAGGTTTTTAAGGCTCTGTGTTAAACATCCTGGACCCACTGCGTCCCACATCTGACCAAGAGTTATCCTGAATTAGGTCATTAACATTGGGTCGTTATGGAGACAGTCTTATCAGGCTGGAACATTTAACAGTTTTTAATGTTTTACAAAAAAAAAGGTGTTTCTTATTTTTTTCAAAGACTAAATAGATTAATACCAAGACATAAAAAAGAAGCCTTTTTTTTTTTCATGTAAGACATATTTCTGTTAGCATGTGGTCTGCTAATACGCTGCTTGAGACAAAAGTGTCCCCCACCCCACCCCCCCGACTGCTATCTGCAGGAATGTGGAAGCCCAGCAGTTCAAAGGCCAGTCGGCCTGAACAGAGCAGTGAGGGTTGGGGAAGTTTGAGGGTGATTGAAGGAATTTGGGTGGAGTATATATATGCATACATGGGGAGGGTCGCCTACCCAGAGAATCCTCACTTTTTGTCTCTAAAGGCCATCATGCTCCCCCCCAGCCCTCCGGTTGCTGCAGCTTTTCTTTTTCAAAGGAAAACAACCCATCTTGTCTCCCTTCCAACCCCCCCAGCCGCTCCCCTCTCCTCCACATCCTTCCTGCCGGACCCTCCCGACTCCACATCATCATGGAGCCCGTTCCCTCTCTCCCTCTCTCTCTCCCTCCACCTTCCCACTGAGCTTTAAATCTCCTCTGCCTCCCACACACCGCCGCGGCGCACGAAACGTCATCTGCCTCCAGCTTGCAGCCCCAGAAGGCCGAACAGAAAGTTTTATCTTTCCACTCCAGTTTTTACCTCCAGAGCTTCCAAGAAAACAAAGCCTGAATCCACCTGGCCTGATCGGCTCAACTGCAAAGCGTTTTATTCCACCATGTGAGGAAACTTTCACACTGATGGCAAAAGAAGTTTGGCGAGACTGAAAAAAGTTTTGAGAGAAAATAATTTCTAAAAGATAAATAGATATTTGGAAAATAATTTTTAAAGGGAAAAAATATATTTTTATTCTCAAATTACATTTTTTGCAGCTAGAGTGAAAACATTTTCTGTCAAAAATACATTTCTCTAAACTTTTTTTTTTTTGCCCTATTCAGGATTTTTCTCTTGATGTGACGATTTTGCAAGTAAAATGAAAACTTTCACAGTTATAGCAAAAAAAAAAACTATTATTTGAGACTAAGGAAAAAGTTTTGAGAGAAAACACTTTGTCATCAAATAATTAAAAAATAAATCAATGTTTGGAAAATGGTTTCCAAGGGGAAAAAACTCTCTCTAAAGTATATTTTTGCTCTCAATTTTCTTTTTTCCAATCAGAGGGAAAACATTTTGTCTCATAGATAAATTTCTCTCTCTGAAATTCTTTGCTACAGGTTCAGGATTCTTCTCTGGATGTGAACGATGAGTCATGGGTGGACCTGGGCTCCTATTGGCCAATCTCAACAGATTTCACAACCCAACTTCCTGCTCACCTGGAAAGTGGACGACAGTGTACGTCTGTGTCTGAATGTCCGCCCTGATCACATCACAGGGCACTAAATAGTGGCTACGCCATTTTAGATGATTGTCCAAATGTCTAGTTCAGGCGTAACCAATTAAAAATCAACCAGTAAAGGTCCAGAGACATTTTAATTATTATCTGTTACTTTAAACAGAATTTAACACTGAAATAAATTAGGTTTTTATGCATCCATGTTATACATTAAATTTTTAAATAAAACAATTTGAAAAAAATGTTTCCATTTTAAAATCTAAATTGTTTTTGAAGTAGAGAACAACAATCGTTCAGTTTGGTTTATAGATAATTTCCTGATTCTCATATTTTCTCAAACCCCTGAACTGATGGTTTGTTATTTTCTTTATTTTTTCTGTCTTAATGTTGGCAGTGGGCTTTAGGCTGCCCTGCAAGGCTTTAAACCTGGGTTTAACCGGAGACTAAGCCATTCTCAAGCACATATCAAGGTGCTCATTTTGAGCCTGGATCCAGATTTATTGTTGATTCTGTTCATGGTGGAGAATCCTGCTTCACAGCAGCAGGTTGAGCCAAACATCCTCTAAATGTGCAGGGTCATCTTTGAGCACGCCATTTCACTTTTCTTTCACCAGTTCACCGCAGTTCTTCCAGCAGTCCACACTTTCTCTGCTCTCTTTTTCTCATGGTCTTCTCCTTCTTTCCCATCGCCCGGCTTGCCACAGGTTTGCCTGCTGTGTCTAAAAGTAGCAGCAGCAGCAACCCAGACTGACAGCTCATTGGCTCATTTGGATCACGTGCAGCCTGGAGCCGGACGCTCCCCAGGGCTTTTACCGTATTAACAGGAGAAGAGGCGCAAGGGAAATTATACACTGTTGTTGGACAACATGCGGTAATTTATAAATTCTTCTAGTGATCATCCATGGTTTCTAGAAGAGCAGATATATCCCAGAACGCTTTGCAAAGAGAGCTGTCCTGCAAAACTAAATGTTTTACTGATTTATTATAATAGCTATTTGCTAAATTGTAATGTTTTACAGTTTCTTATTCCTGCTAAGCAATCCTAACTAATGGTGCATGAATGGTTTCCACACAAACAGGCTGCAAACAGAAGCTCGACTTTTCTCACGGTTGAAACCGTTTTCACCACTTTAAAAATCCTGACCTGACATTTTTAGAAGTGGCTGCTGGGAAGAGAGGGGAAGTAAGAGAGCTTGTTTGAGACATGGATGTAAAAAAAAAAAAAGGCTGATGATAAATCAGAAGGCTGCAGCCCCTGGCATGTACTGAACGTCACACACTGCTGAGGACAAACAGTCTGAGAGCATCTTCAGGCTGCAGTCCTGTGGATGTTTTCCAGAGCGACTGCCTCAAACGTTTACATTCCTGAGTCCAGGCCATGCTGGTTTGAATTAGAAACCAAGGCGAACGCAAACAGGGACTTTTACTGTACTTAAAGGAGAGGAGGCGCGTCCCGCCTCAGAGTTTAATCAGGGATGGACGACGCTTCATTCAAGCTCCTTCTGGTTCAGCTTGGTGGGAATCAGCAGAGCTGACCGATAATTTTATGCCGACATCAGAGTAGTTTGACTTATTTTGAGTTGGATGCATGTTTTAACAGTCGGTTTCAGGCGATGACTGGTTTTAAATCTGCCGTAACTGCAGGAAATGATCCAGAGACGCTTAAAACTCCCTATTAGATCCACACATTCAGCCGGTTTTAAGAAAATAAAAAAAATTTCTGATTTCATTTTTGTCAGTGCTCTACTCGGTCAATTGTTAGATAATATAACTTGCTTCATTTGGAATAAATGGAGGATCAATATGGCTGCACACTCAGACTGCTGGTTTCCTGTTTGCTTATCTTGTCCTTTTTATCCCTTCTACACCACAGCTATTGCCACTACCGTCATGAGTTTAGTGCATTCAACCTTTAAACCAGATTTAACTTGAGCTTTTTAGCTGTGGGGATATAAGCCTTGATTTGTAGCCGTTTAGCTTTGCATAATAATAAACTTTAGGAGTGGATTAAACCCAAGGTGGAGATCAGCATTTATAGGCTTTGGTTTAATCAACATAAGGAACTAGACTAAGAAGTAAAGATATTCAATAAAAGCATGCATCAAATCATTTTAAACTCTAAAGCACTTATTATTTCTGCTTGTTTGTCACATTTATAATACTGCCTTTAAAGCTTTTTTTTCTTTCTTTCTTTTAAAGACACAGGCCTTTTATTTGGACTAAAATTCCCCCAAATAATTAAAGTCTGACAGGAATTTTTTTTTTTAATAGAAAATAATATCAAACATTTCTGCAGGTCTGTTCTGTAAGCAGGTATTATCAGGTTCATTAGTCAGGCTGACTGTTGCTGTAGCTGATTGATTAACCATGGATGATCTGGTGAACTGGAAAGTGACCTCAGATGACATGTGTTGTAAATTGGCGCTATAGAAATAAACTGAATAGAATTGAATTAACCACCAACAGCTTTTAAACAATATCACCTTAAAAATAGTGGCGGAAGGTGCGCCTTTAGTTTCAACACCTGTTTGTCTTTTTTTGCTATAAGAGACTTCAGAATAGTTGAACTGTTAAGAGTATTAGCCAGGAATAAGTTGGTTTTTTTTTTAAGCCAGCTGTCCACAAGTCCAAAATAACAGGGAGGATGCTATGCTACATAAAGCCAAAGAAAAAAATAAACTTTCTCTGAACTTTCTTCCTTTGTTTCTAGATGTTGGAGCTTGGCCTGTTTTCCAGTGTAGTCCTGTTTCTCTGACTGTGACTAACTGGATGTGCTCTCTTCATCCTCTGACATGGGAGCTGGCTCGGAGCTCGTCTGCCTGGCTGTGTGTTTCCTGGACGGGGCCGCCTGTGGAGCTGGTTGACAGTTGCCTTTTGTATCTATGCTTCTTTTTCTATGTCTGCTTCTGTCTCCTTGAACCCCAGTGGGCCTCAGCAGATGGCCGCTCACACTGAGCCTGGTTCTGCTGGAGGTTCCTTCCTGTTTTTCCGTAAAAATTCAGAAAAAAAATTCAAAAATATCCACTGGACTTGGTTTCCAAGATTTGAAGACGTTTCTCCACCTCTCCAGGAAGCTTTCTCAATTCAAATGTCTGGATCCGCAGTGAGTTTGAGTCTTATATGGACAACGCCTTGTATCGCTTGCAAACATGCAATGGTAACCGATGAATGGGTCGTTAGTTCCATCGTTAGCCTGTAATATCTGAACCTGTCTATGATTCTAGGGGTCGGTCGTTAAAGGGGGGATTGTCATTAAGGGGGGGATTGTCTCCTATAATATCTGAAACCTGTCTATGATTGTTAAGTGTTGGTCGTTAAGGAGGTATTGTTCACCGGCTGGAGCGGGTAGGTCCCTCGTTCCTCTGTGATGGGGTGGGGGGTTTGGTGATATCTGGAAGGGATCATGTCTATGATTGAATTGTATGTTTTTGGAAGCTGGAATCTGAGTCCACCACCTCTTTTTAAAGTTGGTTTTTCTCTCTTAACATAGATGGCTTCCTTCACGCCCCTCTCAAACCACCTATTTTCTTTATCCAGAATATGGACATTCTGGTCCTCAAAAGAATGTCCTTTGTTCCTTCCTGTTCAAAGGGAGTTTTTCCTCTCCACTGTCGCTACAAGCATGCTTAGTGTGAGGGATTGCTGAAGAGTCAATGAGTCGATGCAATCAGCTGGTTTTCCTTAGATAGAAAACTTTGAATCAATCTGACTGGATGATCTGGTGAACTGGAAAGTGACCTGAGATGACATGATGTGAATTGGAGCTATAGAAATAAACTGAATAGAATTAAATTGATATTTCACCTTCAAACAGTTCAGAGAGTATGAGAGAAAAATCTAGTTGTTTTGAAACCATCTTTAACTCAGCTCAGCAAATTGATCAAGCTGAGATTGATTTAGGAAGATTAATAGCAGCAAACTATTGACTATAGTTTCTAAAGAGCAACATCTTCTCCTGCAGGATAAAGAAGATGCATCAGGAATATCTATGGCGCCAGTTTCTCAGAGCGCTCACCTGATCCCTCTGAGCGCCCGTCACTGCCTATCAGCGGCACTGTGATGGCTGCTGTGGCGACGCTGTCCGTGGGCATGGCGGTGTAGACGACAGGCAGCGACTGCACCACCACCGGGATGGTCTGCAGTTGGCCCACTTTGCTGGGCATGCTGACTGAGGGGATGGTATGGATGACATGGAGAATCTGCTGTCCTCCGGCTCCCTGTGTGGCCAGGATAGAACCTGGAGAGAGGACCTGGAGGGAGAGCATGACCCCGTGAACAGCTGTCCCCTGTGTGTGTTTATTGTAAAAGAAGGAGGAGGAAGCAGGAGTTTGTGGTTACCATGGAGCCTATGGATTGTACCGAGGAGGGAACGGGCGTGGCCGAGAGGCCCGGCTGCGACACGGTGCTGCAGGGCGCCGGGTTGACTGTGGCGCTCGTCATGGAAGCAGAGTGGGGCTTGTTGAGCGACAGGTCGACGGGTTCGGTCTGGTCCTCAGCGTGACTGGAGTGAGGAGAAGACGGCTCCGCCTTAAATTCTGACTTCATCTTCAGGTCCGTCGGTTCGGAGCAGTCATCACCTACATCGGCCTGTTTGGGAAAAACATGGAAAAACATGAAATATGCTGCATAATATGGACGATGGTTGCATAAAAAATACATCAGTTATGGTACATTTGAATTATGAAAAAAGGAATTTTCTTCTGTTTTTATTTGACTTAAAACAATATTTTTACTTTTATTTCCCTCTTTCAAGAAAACATCTTTATTTAATTTTACAAATTGCAAAAAATGCCTTTAAATTTCACCATGAAATAAGCCATAAATAAATATAAAATGTTAACTACTGCCTTAGAAGTGACCTTAGAAGAAATAAGCTTGTTTCAACCATAGAACTAATTGGAGCATAAAGTTTAAGATCTATTTCAAAGATGATGATTATTTCTGTTAGTAATCAGGAAATCAGTGAAAGATGATTTCAGATTATTCATTCCAGAGATAACTAATATACTGCAAACAAAACAGGACTGCAAATCTAAGACCTAAACCATTAAAGCTTTAATAGCCAAATATTACTCCAAAAAAGGTTAAATAACATAGTGGTTCATTTTATTAAGAATCACAATAGAGGTATTTCTAAATATTCGTGATATTTATAGTGAAAAATGTTTAGACAATTCCAAACGGTGCAGAAATAAGTCAGCAGAAGGGCAAAACAGCTCAGTAATTCAGCTTTTTTCTATGTTAGAGTGTGTTAGAGTAGAAGCTGGAATGCTGGCATTGAGGATCTGCTGCTTTCCCAACTAGCCCTAGTTTCCTGAGCCTCCTTAAAGGAACGGCGCACCAATTCTCCAATCCAGCCACCCAGGGCTCAGCTGCTATGCAGCCCCAAAGTACAGCGAACAATGGCTGCTGTGTGGAACGCTGGGAAGAGGGGGAGGTGGATGAGAAAGTGAGACGGACAGAGACAGAAGGGTTGCATGGGTATGGAGAGAGACTGGTACAGGCTGAAAGAGAGAGAGAGAGAGAGGGGGGGGGGTATAGTGGAAGAGGGAACAGCAGTGAGCCTCCAGTCCAGGAATTGGCCTCCATCCAGTTCAGCTGAGTGTAGTTTGGCTCTGGGCAAGGAGGAGAGGGAGGAGGCTCTGCTGCACCCTTTATCAGGTCAGACAGTTCAGCTGGAAGCTGCCTTTACTAAGATGGACAGATATATATTAAATATATATACATCCACTATCTACCTGTATATATATATATGCAAATAACTGTATTCTAATTAGGAAATCATTTGTTTTTATGTTAAACTACATGCGCTTGTTTGCTGCAGCTTAATGTTGTTTAAATGGATGTTTGCATCGGTTGGTTCCAACACATTATATATGAATATTGATTTAAAAGTGCTAATAACCTTTTGTTTGTGTTGGCTACTGTGTGATTTCTCTATAGACCAGCTGAGCAAGAAGGAACATAAAGGAGAGGAGAGGGAAGCCGGGAGAGGATGGAGGGATGATAGGGAAGGAAAATAAAGAGCAAGCGAAGAGCTCACAGGAGAAAAGGAAATGAGGGGTGAAATAATTATATACATAGAAAGGACAGAGGAAAGGTAAGAGAAGCAAATAAGGAAGGATAAAGGAAATAAGGGCAAGGAGAGGATAGGAAGCATGGAGGAAATATAAAAGAGGAGAGAAATGGAAAAAATAGGAAATGTGGAAAAAGGAAATACGACTTTAACTCATATTTCTTTTTTTTCTTAACTCAGTTAAGGAAAGGAAAGGAGACGATAGCAAAAATGGTACAAAACTTGGCAAATAAGCAGGAAACAAAAAGAAAGAAAAAGAGGATTTTATTAAGCAAAAGAAACAGGAAGCTGATTATAAGAAGGTCAAAGGAGAGGAAAGATGGAAACTAAACCCTGAAAACAAATCAGGGGTGAAAGAAGGGAGCAAGGCAGGGAAGAGAGAAGGAAACAAGAGGAAGAAAGGAAGACGGAGTGGGTGGGAAAGGCGTTTCCATGGAAACTGAGAGCCATCAGCTGACTGCATGTTTTCCTCTCGTTCCACCCACCACCAACTCCCTTTACTTTCCCTCCCAACCTCCTTCACCTTTCCATCACTCCACCTCACCCTCTTTTCTCCCTCCTCCTCCCCCCCGGTCCGGACCACACCTCTGACACCTTTCCCCCCCACACCTCCGCCTCTTCATCCTCAGCATCCCTCACTCTTCACACCAACCACACCCTCAATGCCTCACCCTTTTATCCCCTAATGCAGCTTAATTTCTACCCTTCATTTCTCGTTTTTTTTTTTCCTCTCCTCATTCGCTCAAACAATTCGGAGCAAAATCCACAAACACAGAGACTGAAAGGATTTAAATCTAAGAAAAAGCAGAAAAAATCTCAGGCTCCAGATATACTAAAAATGAGGAAAAATGTTTTTGAGTGTAGCCTCTTGGCTTTCAACGAGGAGAACTAAGAAAATCTCCAGGGAGATATTAGATATAAGGCGCTTGAGGGGGATAATATGAGATAAACCAACACAAAGTTACACACAACTGTGGAGGGAAAAGAACATCGATTTTTATAGAATTAATCTAGAAATTGTGTCTATTTGCATCCAGCTGTTTGGTTGCAAATAAAGTCAGTTTCTGTCGGATCAATTCTTCTCACCTCAAAGTTTCACCCATTCTGCTGTGTTAGATGGATGGAGAGCATCTTTAAGCAGAAGGTTATAGATCTCGCTACGTATTCTCATTTGACTTTAGGTCTGAACTTTGACTAGGCCATTCAGCACATTAATTTGCTTTTTCTTATCTAAAAACACTATCTATTGTTATATATCCCATTATAACTGCTTATAAACTGGTGACCTGTCTATCAATCTCCCGCTCCATCTGACCCTAACGGTCGCTGTATCAGACTGTCGCCCAGGACACGATGGAGGGACTCTTTCTCTGGCTCGGGGAGCAGCTGGAGGAGGGAAGTCTGGTCACCTCTGCTTAGACTGCTGCCTCCACGACCCGGGGAGTCGTTAAAGGGAATAGTTGGTCTGGCTGAATAGGCGAGGTCCTCCCCTCTCCTGTACAGAGGCTGAGGCTGCGACACGAGAGCGTCTAACGACCCCCCTTTCAGAGACATAGACAGGTATGGGGCATTGCAGGCTAACAAAGAAGCCAACCGACCCCCATTCCAAAGGGGGGGACCCGTTCATCCGTTTCTATTTGCATGTTTTCTAAACTAAAACCAGGCTTTGTTGGGCTGCTGGATAAAACCTGGAACTAAACGCTATTTCTGACATTTGGAATTGAAAAAGCTTCCTGGATGGAAGAGAAACGTCTTCAGACCTGGAAACAAAGTCCAGAGGATTGATTTTACTTTTTTCTTTTTTTGGAATGACTGTGATGGATGACAGAGAATCTTCACCAGTGCATTTTAAACAATCACAGCTGCACACAAGAGCTAATTAAAAGTGTTTCAGGTGTTTTTAGCGCATTTCGTGCTGTTTGTGAATACGTCCTTAACGGATTAAGTATCAACATTTTAGTCATTAATAGGCAAAAGTTCATTCATTCGTGCAACAGGTAATAGTTTTTGGAAAAAAAAAGTCAAAAAGTCGTGACCCTAATCTGGACTCCTCAACCCAACAACAGCTAATTTTACCAGTTCTGTGATTTCTGGAATCCATCCTCTCTGAACATCTGATCGCTGATCAGATGTTTCTAACAGCTGGTTTCCTTCAAACATTTAGTAATCAGTCAAAAGTAAGCATTCTCTGTTTGTTTTCTGGAAATAACCAAGTTTTAAATAAATCTGTCAGGATGTATTTTGTTCTTTTAACAGTTTTAAATGTGAGACTAACCTACAGATCGTGGTGTTCTGAGGTGAAATCCTGGTTTGAACTTGAAGTGTTGCTCTTCCAGCTCTGCCTGCGTGTCTAAGTTCAACCCCTCTGCTGTAAAATGGGTCACCCGGTCCTCATCTCGCAATTAATTCATGTGATCTCTAACCCTGTGTGATGCGGCCGGCAGGTGTGGCGGCAGAGAGAGACAGCTCGCAGAAATACAGATGCACGGCGTCCGCAGGACTTCAATCATTTTGTACTTGAGGCGGCGCGTTTTGCGATGCTAACGTAATGTGTGATTTATGGGGGGCAATAAACCTCAGCTGTCAGTTTGCCCACAGAGGACGGCGGACGCGTGGAAGACGTATGACTGTATTTAATGCGTGTGAACAAGGCTGAGCTTTAGTTCATGGCAGCCAATTTAAACCCGGCTTTAATCATATGTGTGATTCGTTTTAAAGATGTGACTGTAAGCGTTTAATAGAGAGAAACAGGTCCGGTTGGAGGAGGTCAGCTATCAGATGGTGAATTATTAATGCACTCTGCTGGTATAAGATCTGCTTTCAGGGTCATTTTCCTTCAGTAAGGGTCCAACCGAATGCCTGATTCTGTACCCAGCTAGAACTAGAATAACTAGAAATGACTATTTAATCCCCCGACCACAGACTGACTCCAATAAAAAAGTTAAAGGCTGCTTGTTTATTCATCAAATTACCGTAAATGACTTCCAGTTTTCTCTCTGCTTTGATCAGCTGATGGTAAAAAGATACATCAACATTTAATCATCTGTTTTCTCCCATCCATCCATCATCCATCCTCCATCCATCCATCCATCATCCATCCTCCATCCATCCATCCATCATCCATCCTCCATCCATCCATCCATCCATCCATCCATCATCCATCCTCCATCCATCCATCATCCATCCTCCATCATCCATCCATCCATCCATCCATCATCCATCCATCCTCCATCCATCCATCCATCATCCATCCTCCATCCATCCATCCATCCATCCATCCATCCATCCTCCATCCATCCATCATCCATCCATCATCCATCCATCATCCATCCATCCATCCATCCATCCTCCATCCATCCATCCATCATCCATCCTCCATCCATCCATCCATCCATCCATCCATCATCCATCCTCCATCCATCCATCATCCATCCATCATCCATCCTCCATCATCCATCCATCCATCCATCCATCATCCATCCATCCTCCATCCATCCATCCATCATCCATC